GCAGCAGCAGGAGGGAACTGAAGATGTCCATACTGGCCTCAGGTCTTCTGTTTCTCGCTAAAACAGAAGGAATTCTGGATCTGTTATCAGGTAATAACATGTTATCGAGCAACAACTGCAACCAGTAATCTCTGCAACTAAAGGTTTTCATTCTTGCAATGGTAAACTACCATTTAACCCGTTAACTGCCATGTCCTATCTGTGTATGGTGCCTCCAAATTTGCAGCCTCATGCTGCCAGAATAGAGCTATTGTCTGTCCTTCCAACAGCTTTAAATGGCATACTAAGTTCCGCCATCAGTTAAAGATCGCCAGCTGATTTTTTTTTATCCCTTTTCAGGCTTTTGGTGATTTTGATGCACCTTGTGCGTGTCATTAAGCTCTGGATTTTTGCCTCACCTTTCCACTGCCTCATGTTCCAACAGTCAGTGCTGTTTAGTCTAAATCCTTATTGAACGGACAGAATCACAAAGGAAGCCAGGTTTGTTTTGACTTGAAGAAATTTTGTAGAAATTAGAGGAAAGCTAAGCTTAATTTTGAAATTTTTCTACCTTTTGTTTTGGAGGGTTTTTCGTTTGGTTGACATAAATCTTGTCCTATAATCCGTGGTGCATGTCGACACACTGACCTCATGCAACAGCAGCAATTCTGTTTATGAAGCTGCCCTATTGCGTCTTGTGCTGCAGTTAATTTTGTCCTCGCTGACAACTTCCTGTAATTGGAAGTCACCGTTATGCACCAGTCCTCTAATACCATCCCTGATTATCACGCGGACAGCTCATGAACGCTGGCGTTCATGGTCTTTGGTTTGCCGATGTCCAAACTAGAATGGTTTCTAAAGGGAACTTCTGTCCACTGAGATGAGCTGGAGCTCCGAGTTCATTTGATTCTCTGTATTTACTCTAAATTATTTTATTTTTAAGTCTCTACAATCAGGATATAAAATGTTCTACGGGGCGATGTAATGATATCATCCAGTTAGATCAATAAAAGGGTTTTTATCTAAGGACCACCAGCTGATTGCATCATTTTCTTGACTTTGCAGGAATTGCTCCTCCTGGTTGAGCATGTGGCGACAGAAGATCAGCAGTAACTGAATAAAGCCTCAGCCAAAATACCTGAAAAGGGCTTTTCTCCATTTCATAAATTATCTTATTGCATTTTGAAGATATTTTCTAGAAGCATCTACTAAACAAAAACCTCCTATTAAAGAAAATATTTGCAAGTAAAGAGCAGAAAGTTGTACTCACAGGCGACTCTGCCAGGGGAATGCAGGTTTAGTTCCAAGAAGCATAGATGGTGAACAGATTTAAGTGTTAAGCAGAATGCTGAGCGAATGAAAGCAGGAACTAGGAGCAGAACACAACCCCACCTTTTTGAAATGTTGAAATCGAGACTTGCCTAACTGACAGGAAATGAGACATTTTTAAGACGTACTCTCTCTTCAAAGCGTTTGCCAAATATAGTTGTTTATATCTTGCATCAGCACCTCAGACTGAATTAGCTTCTTTAGCATTTCATGTTGGTTGAAATGGTGAGCTCACTTTATGTGATGTTGGATATATTTGAATCTGTTTCTGTACTTTGGACTGTGAAAAAAAACAGTGAACTGTCCATCTTCTGACTCTGGAGTCTTTGCTGTCTGTATAAACAAAGCTTGGGTTGGTCCATTAGACTAAGACCATGTTTCTAGTGCTGCTCAGAAAGCCCCCGTCTTTCCCATCCAGGCTCAGATATAAGGCTGAGCTGGGAGGTTTCTTTCCACCCTGAAATATGATGTTACTTTAGGGATGTTTAAAGGAAAAGTCCGGTCAGCAAGGAATAATCAATGGATCATCATCTATGCCTAAAACTAATATGTTTGCGGTGATTTAATGAATTTAGCATTAATCAATAAAAAATAAGAACAATATTTTTCGTTGCGATCACCGAGTCTGGCAGCGGCAATTTTTGCCCAAATATAGAAACCCCTCCCTCCTGCCATCTTCCAGCAGTGACGTCACGGTGCGGTAAGCCTAGCGCCATTCTCCCCGCTTTACAAGCTAAATCAATGGCAACTACTAGACACATCTGCAATCAACAACAATTATTGAAGATTTCCAGAGGACTTCACCATTGAAATTCACCAGAGCTATAGTGAAACTGACAATGCCCACGTGCATGGCAGCTGGATGCTGGAATACATTGGGTAAAAGTGGAAAAAAAGAGTTATTCCACCTTTCTGATTCCTGATCCTCCACGGACGGGTTGGTCGTTGGATCGCCAACTTGAAGAGGGAGGATTTGCCATCGAACTTCTGGCCAGAGAAAAAACCCGTAATATGTAGCCAACATTTGGAAGAAGAATGTTTTCAAGATGACTTGGATAAACACCAGATACAGCACTGGGACTTGATCAACAGCTGATACCGCACCGTGACGTCACAAACCAGTAGGTGGCAGTAGTGTTCTTTGACAAACATGGATGCCTCGTGCGTGCTTTGGTGCCGTAGTGGTTAGCGCACACGACCCATGTACGGATGCCTTAGTCCTCGACGCAGCTGATTCGGGTTCGAATCCGGCCTCTGGTCCTTTGTCCCATGTCTCTCCCCCTTTTTTCTCATACCTCGTCTCCTATCAGCCTACTGTCCAAAATAACAAGTTACTAGTGCCCAAAAAAAAAAAAAAGTCTCCACTAAAACACATTCAAGTAAAAATTTCTCTTGATTAAATACACTGATCATTTGTTGCACAATATGCAATAATTTCATATTTGAAGTACTTTCAGAGGTTTGAATTCTGAATAGGAGCGGACTTCCTTTAACAGTTTGTAATTCAGCATCTCTACCAGTTTTAAATCTCTCTAGTAAAGTTGTTTGGGTCAAAGATGGTTTGATATTCCCAACTGAAGGCTTTAAGGCCCCGTCCACACGAAGCCAACCCCTGGCCTAAACGCACACATTTTTCACCAAACCAGCCTCTCATCCATACGAAGCCGGCGTTTCGGGGGTCTGTAAACGATCTTTTTTTTTATTCAGCCTTCAGAGTGGGAAGATTTTGAAACGCCGTTTTCGCGTTTCCATCTTTAAGCTCTAACCGCATTTTTTTTTTTTTACACGCATGCGTCATAGCGTCGCCTCTAAACACGCATGCGTGACACAGTATCACAACAACAATGGTGCCGTACTGTGTTGAATAGTTGCTGCCAATGCTACTCACCCTGCTGTCGGGCTTACAACAGAATCTTCTTCTTCTGGAATATCTCCAGGAAGAACAGAGCAATATCGACGACATAGTTCAGCAGCTGAATTTGACTGAACCACGAAAATGGACCCCCAGGGCAACCATGTATAAATATTAGAGCGCATGCCCAACATTTCGTCGCCATTTTTGCTTTGGCACCACAGCGCCACTTACAGGCCTGGCATACATTTTGCAGCGTTTTCATGCATTCGTGTGGACGCTCACATTTATTTTACGTCTCCGTCTTTACGACAAACGTTCTGGAAAATATTAGCATTTCGTGTTCGTTTTGACTTCGTGTGGACGGGGCCTAAGTTTCTAAGTATAAACTGGGGAAGATGATAATCTGAAGATGATGCTAATTTACAATCTGTCCCCAGTCCTCGTTTCTCTGCTGGCAGGGATTATTTTTTAGGAAACTTGTTCACCGGTTCTGATACCACTTCATTTCCTCAGCCTTTATTCTGAAAGTCTAGTTTCTTGTTTTTTTTTTTTTTATTTCTTATGCTCTTTGGTGTCTCACTGACAGGGATTAATTACTGAGCAGACATTATACATGAGTATTTAACACTATTTGCTTAAAAAACAACAAATGTAAAAAATTAAAAATAAAAATCAGGTTGAAAGATTCCAATGAAATCAGTCTTTAAGCTCCACTTTTTTAAGGAAAATATTTATACAGATATTTTCAATCAGTGACAAAGCAAGTTCTCCACAGTGTGCCACAGTAAAAGCCTCAACATTGATTTGAAGCACCAGACATGAGTACAATACAAAAGGATTTATTCAGAATCAGGAAATGGAACATTTTGCTTCTGTGTTTGCAAAGAATGAATAAGCAGTAATGTTAAACAAGTCAGCAGTCAACAGATGATCGGCGGCGTAGCAGCAGCACAGAGTTCGTTTGTCTTTAGATCAGCCATGTTTCTTTTTTCTGTGGTTCTATTTTTGTTTCTGCTGAACACAGATGTCTGTTGTTGCACAGCTGCAGAGATGTTCTGGTAAGCACTAGTTGGATCCGCTGCAATAAATTCATCTATACGGCATATCACTGCACCCTGCATATGTCAGATGCTTCGGATGTTTATTTAGGCGCCAAATTAATGGCTGTAATCTGTTATCCGTTTTTATAATGCAGAATAATCTGTTATAAAGGGTAAAATGGTGGTACCGTGGGCGAGCTATTAACAAAACCAAAGCAAGTTGTTTCATCACTAAAACAGCACAAGCTGTTGACGAGATGGAAAGAACCCCCCCCCCCACCACCACCACCACCACCGACCTGTTGCCCTTTAACTCTCCTGGTGAGAGCAGAAATAAAGCCCAGAATGAATGTCTGCAGAATTTTTTTACACCTTATGAACTGTTGACTTTTTGTTAAGTTTTAGTCCCAAAAGTCGCTATTTTATTTGTTTTTTATTTTTGGCTTAAGGCTGTGCAAAATACTGCCTAATTATGTAGGGTCTTGTTGTCACCAGTTAAGAAAAGTGTTGTCTTTTCTTATATCTTTCATAAAGGTTATTAAAGCTGCACACATTGCGCTTTCAAAATATTGCTTTGTAATTTAATCTGGTCTAACTGAAGTTAAAATATTCTGTCTGCAAAATCTGCTTTAATTCGCATCCTCTTTGTGTTTTTAACAGATATCTGTGTTTTTTTCCTGTATTTTGTCCTTGATTCATTTTCACTGAACCAAATCTGCAGCTTTGTATAATTCAAACATCAGACTTTTTTGTGTGATAAAACATTATTCTCCTACTTTTATCTGTTAGCGAGGGAAAAAAGGTTTTGACTGTTTCTAAAACTAAACAATTTTCATCCATTATTAAAGTTCACTTATTTTTTTTGCTTTTTGTTTAAGTGAAAAAATTTAAAAGTTTAAGAAATACTTCCAGATTAAGTTTTACAAGAACTTTAGTTTCTAAAATCACATTAGGAAAGATAATCTGACGGATTTGGTTGTTTGCGCCATGGTGACAGACGTGGGTTACCGTCTCATACAACAAGAGGCATGTCTTCTAAATCCTTTGGAAGCACCACACAGGAATCCCTGGAGCTGGAGCTCTGGAACTGAATGTTCTTTTCTCCAGGATCAGAACAAGTTGTTCCTCCTTCCTGGATACCTGCCCCAGCTTCCTCCAAGGCATCTTGTATCTCACTCTGAGTATGGTCGTCTGTCATCACCTCCTCAAGTATAACGGTGGTATCACAAGGGCCAACCAGCCCTTCTATCTCCGTCTGATCTGGTCCCCAGTAGTGGGCACCACCCATCATGTCTGTGTTGGAACGGTGGGTTCCAGGGATGTACACCCGGCGCTGGAGGACCCAGATTTGGCATGCAAGCACTGATATGGTAATCAGAAGGCAGATGATGAACCCTGCTGCTGAACCAATAGCAATCGGGCCCATCTTGGAGTCAATTAAACACTTTCCACCTGTAGTATTGGTGCCATCATTTGGGTTTTGTTGAAAAGCAGTCGTGAAGGAGGGATCCGTTATAAATGTTGGTGTGTCAGTCAGGTTTTCGGATGCCAGTAAGTACATGGTTGTAGTTGAAGGATCTTGGTCCGCCTCAGCAGTTCGGTGCAGCACCAGAAACAGGACAATCAGGGAGGTTTTCATCTTTCTGTGAAGGAAATAATCCCAAACAAATGTTTTATTACCATTGAATCATTTTTCAACTTTCTTCTTAATGACAGTTTTAGTACTTACCTAAGGTTGCTCAGGAGGTCTGTGTGGCGTAATGGAGAGCGCCTCAAGAGCTGCTCTGAACCGTCGTCCTGACTTTCTCACTACGTCTTCTTCTCTGCTGGGGTTATATCAGGGTCTTTGGTTTGAAGCCACAGAGGCTAAGGTGCTGTTCTTAAAGAAGCAAAAGCATCAGTATTTTTAAACACTTGGTGTTTGAAAGGCTGCTGTGTCTTATATTCGTCCTTAGTGATTTTCTGTTTTAATCTAAGGAATAAACTGAATACCAAAGTTACAGAAGATCATGGCTTTTAATTTGACCTATTTTTTCTCCTCAGGTTCAAAACGGGCCAAATAAATGGAGACCTTCTCATCTACCATGTCCTCCTCACCCTAAAACCTTACTACGCTAAGCCCTACGAGATAGTCGTAGACCTAACTCACGTTGGACCCAGCAATCGTTTTAAGACTGACTTTCTGTCCAAGTGGTTTGTGGTCTTTCCTGGCTTTGCCTATGAGAACGTGGCAGCGGTTTATGTCTACAACTGCAACACTTGGGTGAGGGAGTACACCAAGTATCACGAGAGGCTACTGACTGGCTTGAAGGGTAGCAAACGTCTCCAGTTTATTGACTCTCCGGCTAAGTTGGCGGAACACATAGAACCTGACCAACAGAAACTTCCAGCAGCCACCTTGACATTGGAGGAAGACCTCAAGGTGTTCCACAACGCCCTCAAGTTGGCGCACAAGGACACCAAAGTCTCAATAAAGGTAGGATAGCAGTGAAAAGCTCTTCGCCAAACAAGAGAGAATACGATAATAACAGGCTTTTTTTTCCAATTTTACTCATGGATACTTGTTTATTCTTAGGTGGGCTCTACAGCAGTCCAGGTGACCTCAGCTGAGCGGACCCGCGTTCTCGGCCAACCGGTCTTTCTCAATGATGTTTATTATGCCTCAGAGATTGAAGAAATTTGCCTGGTGGATGAAAGCCAGTTTACTCTCACCATGGCCAACCAGGGAACGCCTCTGACGTTCATGCACCAAGAGTGCGATGCCATCGTTCAGTCTATAATTCATATCCGTACCCGCTGGGAGTTGTCTCAGCCCGACTCGATTCCCCAGCACACAAAGATCCGCCCAAAAGATGTCCCAGGAACTCTTCTCAACATTGCTCTACTCAACTTGGGAAGCTCTGACCCGAGTCTGCGGTAAGTTACTCAAAGGTTTCAAGAGGGTCATCATCAAACCATTGCAATGTGGATTTGATGTACTAAATCAGGATCTGTATAACTAACACTCAGTGTTTCATTAAATCAAAGCAAGCTGTGCTTTATGATGAAATAATGAAAAAGTAGTTTAGTAACATCACTCAATGTCTTCTTCACTTGCAGGTCAGCAGCTTACAATCTCCTCTGTGCTTTAACTTGCACATTCAACCTGAAGATAGAGGGTCAGCTGTTGGAGACGTCCGGTCTCTGCATCCCAGCGAACAACACACTTTTTATTGTTTCTATCAGCAAGACCCTCGCTGCGAATGAGCCTCATCTGACCCTGGAGTTCTTGGAAGAATGCATCTCAGGCTTCAGCAAGTCAAGTAAGTCCATTGAGGTGGCAGATGACTGTTTTTTCCCCCTTCTTGTGTCATTTTTGAACTCCCCTCTAACCTGAAGAGGTCAAAGGAGTTTCTGCCTCAAGTGAAGGAGTTCAAGTATCTTGGGGAGATCGATGGCCAGATCGGTGCGGCTGCTACCTTAATGCATCACTGCGCCGGTCTGTTGTGGTAAAGAGAGAGCTGACCAAAGAATCAAAACTCTATCTTTTCGGTTGGTCTATGTTCCTACTCTCACCTATAATCTGGATCTTCACCTAAAGGGCAACATCCCAGATACAAATAGCTTAAAGGAATAGTACACCCAAAACATGATTAGCCTTCATTTTCTACTCACCCCCATGCTGAACAACACTCTGGAGTACTTTTTTGATATCTCAAATGCATCTGGAGATCTGGGAGGCTTCTTGCTGTCTGCTGGCATTCAAATAATGGAGGTCTATGGTGCCCGAGAAAGAAAGGTCCATAAAAGTCCACAAAAACGTGTCAATATTCCTCCATACTGCTCGTCCAATGTATTCCAAGTGTCCTGAGTGGGTAGCATCCAGAATTTACTCGAAACAAAGTCATTTAGAATGTTTTTAGAGCATAAACAGTAGTGTATAGGAAGGTGGCTGGGCACTTTCTTAGGAATAGGGTGAGGAGCTGGAGAAGCTGGGAGTAGAGCCGCTTCTCATCTACATCGAAAGGTGTCAGCTAACGTGGCTCTGAATTATTAATCAAAATGCTTACAGAGTCCTAGTGGATTATCCAGGACACACTGGAGGGACTAAAGCATCTTTCCCACTGAAAATACCACGTTATGGTTTTGTTATTTTTTTTTTCAAACATGGGTCGACGCGGTAAAAACCGGCATTTGGCTCCCTTCCCATTGGCAAAAAAAGTGTATGGTCTAACCCCTCTCTGGCAGCTGCGTGATCTCTGTCCCTTTAGTGTGACGCCCTCACACTCAGTTAGTGTTGATGATGTCACCAGTGCAACAGAAATTAAGAAAGTAAACAATGGAGAGCAACAAGTAAGGAAGCCTGGGCGTAGTCAGTGTGCCTTGTTGTTTCTCTCTATTATCTGTCTGAATCCCAGTTCAGCTGCTCCATGTTTATTAAAGGAAAAAGAGGTTTTTAGCTCAGACGCAAATGCCGCAGTGTGTTGATGTCCGTTTGCATTCAGTTCTGTCACATAATTTATCGGGTCAACTGGGCTCTGGGGTTCTCACCCCGTTCTCACCCAGTGCCGAGGCGACTTTAATGCGGGTTGCTTGCTGGGCGTTCGACCCGGATACACACGGGTCAGTGAGCTGTTCCCACTGCCACTAAAAGCCGATTGTTTTCAGGTTTAAACGGGTTTCTCAGCCAGTTGGAAGGGGGTACATGTCTCACAGCTGGTCTTGGAACACCTCGGCTCTCCATCAGATCTATGTTTGATTATTCCACTTTATTCAAAAACTCTAAGAATAAAAAATGTTGATTCTACAAAATGTTTTGGTTAAAATAGGAAAATTTCGGCGCTCTTCTGTTATTTTTCTACACAAAAACAGTGCCTGTTTTATCTGAAAACGTTCTTTGATAAACGAGTGAGGTGTCTCAACTGGCATTGTGTCGTTGACTCTGCAGCAATCCCTCAAATCGGGCATGCATGCAGAGAAAGTGGAGATAACAAAAACTCCCTTTTAACAGGAAGAAACCTCTAGTAGAACCAGGCTTTGTTTGAACAGCCTTCTGCAGGCTCGAGAAGACGGAAGCAGACATACAAGTGGAGGCAGTGATGGTTGCTGCCTATGGAGCTAGTTTACGGTCCATAGATGGCTCGATCTAGGAAAGCAGTAGCTCAGCAAATGAGCTCTGAGTCGGTTTTCATGTTAAAAAGGATAAAAGACAGTCCTTAAACCTATACCTCTTTTTCACTGGCTGAAAAAAAACCTTTTTAACCCGGCAACAATCGGCTTTTAGTGGCAGTACGAACAGCTCACTGACGTGTGTCTAACCGGGTCAAACGACTCTGCAAGTCACCCACATCAAAATCGCCTCGGCTCTGATCGGCATGTTGTGGGAACACCAGAGCCCGGTTGACCCTCCAAATTACGTGACGCCATCGAGCGCAAAGTACGGACATCAACGCAGCACGCCAGTCGGCCTGATCTAAAGACCAAAACAAATCTGTTTACATTTAATAAACATGAAGCAGCTCTGGTGAAAGGGATTTAGACAGATAAAAGAGCTAATCAACAATTCTTATTGTCTACGCCCTGGCTTTTTTACATGTTGACTTTCTCCATTGTTTACTTAACTGATTTCTGTCACACTGGTGACATCATCAACGCTGCGTGATGATGTCACCAGACGCACTGCTGCGAGGGAACCGAGGGCACGCAGCTGCCAGCGAGGGGTTAGACACTTTAGCGAGTGCTTAAGGAGCCAAATGCTGATTATTGGGTCGACCCATGTTTCAAAAACACAGTTAAAATGGTAGTTCCAGTGGGAAAGAGGCTTTAGTCACATTCAAGCATGAGTCATTGACTATGTCTAGGAGATAAATGGGATTAAACAAAAAGACAGTCTGTGCATTTGGCCACATTCAGTCTGTAAAACCCAGTTTTGTGAGATGTTGCCCAGCCTGCTGCTGCATAGATGACCTGAGCTGACGCACAGTGGAACAAAGCCCAAGAGGCCATCGCACCCTTATAATGCTTTGAGCCCATGCACTTATTGGCCAGAGATGGAGCCTCCAAAATCCAGTGCTCTAACTTTTTGAAGGAGACCTATAAGCAGTGGCCCAAGGTATGAACAGATGATCATATCTAGAAGGAACTATAGCAAAGTGGACAGACAGTTTTGCTTTGCTAGCTAAAACCCTTCAGATCAGAGAGGAAGTTGTGGGAAGAGAGACTAGGCTTTCAGTGACATTTGAAATCGATTTATTCTTTCAACAGTCACTGAAAAGGAAGGCTTACCACTTGGTCTCTGGTTCTCAGCTTTTTTCTGGTGGAGAGATTGTGGGGCAGTTCTATGGAGCTCCAGCTGACCGCCCTCTCACTGCCACGGCAGCAAAGGCAGGTCTGTGGTCCTGTGTGGGAGTTTGACTTGGTTTACAAGGCTAAGAGATGTAAAAGCTTCTCATCTGGCTTTTTTGGGGTACTTGTCTCTTTAGTCTTGTCCAAGGAGGGTTCAGATAGACCTTCTGTTGGGTCATTGGTCATATTCATAGTTTGGGCCTTCTAGCAGTCATTTAGACCTGACAGATGCATCTATTTTACCTCAGAGTGAGGTCCCTAAGTGCGTTCAGACACACCCATGCTCAGTAAAAGGGCGTAAGCCACTGAACAATACTGTGGTTGTGGTTAAGCCAACATAGAGAAGTCCTTGACAGGAGCTTGTTTATTAATAGGCTAGACCAGTAACGGCTGATGGTGGAAGTCTTCTACAGTCGTAGAAGTCATTAAGCAGTACTCCTCCTGCATCTGGAGCTGCAGGCCAGGGACATCTCAGCTTTGATGCAGCGTGTTTGCATCAAAGCGGAGCACTTCTAATCCGCTTGCTTGTCTGGAGTGTTGATCTTATCGTCATCTTCTAGGGTGACGGTGTCAAGGTAGGGGTTTGTCCTTTGCATCCGAACATGTGCATGACCAGGTGATTCAATGAATGCAGGGTAAGGTGCTTTGATGTCCTCTGGACTTGATTAAACATTGGATTGCAGCCCCTTTTCCACCTTCCTCTATGTCCTTAGATGCAAGGAGGTCTTTTTTTGCATCATCTGTTTCCTAAAAGCATCATCCATGCCCCTCTATGTAGCCGTTGACAAGAACAAAGAACAACAACCTGCACGCAGTAACACCTGATTGATATGAAATGGAGGCGAGCACCATTAAAAATGGAGAAGGGACAGCATTACTTGCTCTTTTGTTTTCTATATTGCCAGAAAACCAATATCTGGAGTATCTAAACTGTATGAATTTTGTCTTTGAAGATTCTCAATCAAAATGTAGGTCTGTTATTTTTGCAGCAGACGGTGTTTGTCTCAAAAACATCAAAACTACCTCTGTAAATAAAGAATCTACTTTGGGTAACTATTAATTTAGAGTTTTAGTGACACCTGCTGGTTATTGTATTATTATACTCTAACAATATAATGTGAGTTTCTACATAGGGCAGAAACAATTAATTGTGATTAATCGATTATTGAAATAATAGTCAACTAATTTAGTAATGGATTAATCGTTAAATGTAGTATAGAGACTCTAAAACATACCTCTAGCTGACAGAGCAACTAACTTAGAACAGTAATTATATGGAAAAAAAAAAGTAATATAAAAACATTATGCATTTGAGATTAAAAAAATAAAAGGTTTCATCTGTCAATCTGCTCTATCCAGAACTCCTCAAGGGGAAAAGTTTAAGTTTCACCTAGTTTAATTTTGTTTAAAAAAAAGCCTTTGGCTATCTGATTATTAATTGATTAATTGAAAAAATAATCAACAGGTTACTCGATTTGAAGAATAGTAATTAGTTGCAGCCCTTTCTTCAACATAACCAGATCTACTTGCTCAACAGGGTCAAAAGGGGCTAAAACGTCAAACTTGAGCAGAAATATCTGATCAATAATGTTTTTATTTTCTGATCAAGTTAAACTGAAGTTTTTAATGTTTCGTTTTAGGTATCGAGCTCAAGCATCTCTGTCTGGAGTACATGACCCCCTGGCTTCTGAACCTGGTTCGATTCTGTAAACATAATGACGATGCCAAACGCCAGCGTGTCACAGCCATCCTGGACAAACTCATCACCATGACGATCAATGAGAAGCAGATGTATCCCTCCATCCAGGCTAAAATCTGGGGCAGCCTAGGCCAAGTGAGTCTTCAGCTCCCAGAAATTGAAAAACCTTTTCTGGACTGAACCAAGGAGCCGTCTGTCTGTAACTCGTCTTTCTTGCCTGCAGATAACCGATCTGCTTGACGTGGTTCTGGACAGCTTTATAAAGACCAGCGCCACAGGAGGCCTCGGCTCCATCAAGGCCGAGGTCATGGCCGATACCGCTGTCGCTCTGGCTTCAGGGAACGTCAAGCTGGTGTCCAATAAGGTAAGAACTCCCCCCCACGCCTCTCTTGTAAGGCATCAGCTAAAGTTTCCTGTGTGCTGTCATCCCTCTGGAGCGTTTTCAGCCTTTTGCGTCTTCTAATTTAAACTGCTGAAACCATAAAAAAACATCAGATCTCTGACTTCATTAGCAAATTGAATTATTCAAACCACAGATGTCTTAAGCCAAGTCCCAGAGGAAGTGAAATTGAAAAACTGATGCAGCAATGCTCCTCGGTAGCTCATATGGACCCAACCTGCTGGTTTGCAGGCAGATAGTGTTGGTCTAAGAAACATGAAGGCCAGTCCATGGATTCAGTTTCCTCATCCTGCAGGAATCGGCTGCATATTCTTCCAACATGAAGCCATCATGTTGCAGGTCCTCACACCAACACTAACCCATCACCTAAACCATCAGTGACCACCTCAGCCTCTCCATATGGAGTGGATGAGGTCTATTCCCCCTGTGGCTCACTGCTACCCAGACGCTATTGCTCACATTTTAAATTGAGAAATCGTCCTGGGTGGGAAGCGAAACATCTTCAAACTTGGAAACAAAGTCCAGTGGATTGTTTTTTTTGGACAACTATGACCTGGATGACTGAGAATCTTATCAACATGCTTGATTATAGAGGTTTATCAATCTTACAGAGGCTGTAATCAAAGCCCTACGGTGAGATTCTAGTGTTTAAACAGACATTAAGAGAAGGAAGTTGGTTTTATTTTATTAGTAGTCTGTAATGGGTTCCAGTCCAGAACCTGTAGGATCTGGAAACATTGGAAATCTTTGTAAGACTAACACTTTCAGCAAACTAGCTCATGACTTTCTGATAGAAAGAAGGCTTATTAAATTTCTCTTTATTGTCACATTGAACCAGTTTAAGCCTGGTCTAAGTTCCTGCTCTGCTGCCCGAATCATGAAACTTTGAACCCAGGAGACATTTGCCATCTTCAGCCATCCATTTAATACTCTTTTCTTTAATAGACCCTTCTTAAGATCCACTTTTTCCACGTTTGCTTCAACTTTCTTGGGCGGTCATAATTTTATGAAGCATTTTGTTTAAAAAAAAAAGCAATGAAAGTATCATTAAGTATTAAAATAGTAAAACAGTTTCCTCTCATTATAGTTGTGGATAGAAACTGAATGCTTGCAGACCTTAGAGAGAGAATGCATTGATATTAGATGCAGATTTTAGTCTATGTTGTTGACCTGGAAATATAAACTTTACTTACATGCTAGAAGTCCAGACCCAAAGCTGGGAGTTCCTGGTGAATTACAGAAAGCGAAAAGACCAACTCATCCACTCACTATCCATCATCTGTGTGCTCTGGTTTCACTTCAGCTCACTGCCCAGATAAACAAATACAACATACACAGGCAGACACAATAGAAATTCTGGGCCTGGCTCCTATTATGGCACACATCAGTGCTGCTGTGAATGGTGGCCATTGTAGGGACTGTTGCCTAAGAAATGTCAGGCAGGGTTTGGTTTGTGCTGCTGCTCCGCTCTGAGGTTAAAGCCTCCGAACCCAATGGTTCTGGCATTAGCATCCATCTCGGAACACCCTGTTGCCCCAGGACGCAATAATATCAGATATAAATCTACTCAATGGAAAGAACTCGTTCAGGGATGTACTAATGCTGAATCCCAAATCGGCCCCTAAGCACTAAACCAGGGGTCACCAACCTTTTTAAAGGAATAGTACACCCAAAACATGATTAGCCTTCATTTTCTACTCACCCCCATGCTGAACAACACTCTGGAGTACTTTTTTGATATCTCAAATGCATCTGGAGATCTGGGAGGCTTCTTGTTGTCTGCTGACATTCAAATAATGGAGGTCTATGGCGCCCGAGGCAGAAAGGTCCATAAAAGTCCACAAAAAACGTGTCAATATTCCTCCATACTGCTCGTCCAATGTATTCCAAGTGTCCTGAGTGGGTAGCGTCCATAATTTACTCGAAACGAAGTCATTTAGAATGTTTTTAGAGCATAAACAGTAGTGTATAGGATTTCCTGAAAGCGCGCACCTGCGAGTTCACGAGCCTACGGAAACCGGCAGACCAAACCAGATGAAAGTGCGCATTCAGCGTCTGCTCTGCCGATAATGCAAGCGTAGAAGAAGAAATGTGCTGTTTACCTGTGCAAAGAAAGAAACAATGAAAGAAAAATGTCTGAGGACTTCAGTGTTGAGGAAGAGCATGAGTTCTTTGCCGAGCTGAATGCGCACTTTCGTCTGGTTTGGTCTGCCGCGGTTTCCATAGACTCGTGAACGCGCTTTTAGGAAATCCTATACACTACTGTTTATGCTCTAAAAACATTCTAAATGACTTCGTTTCGAGTAAATTCTGGATGCTACCCACTCAGGACACTTGGAATACATTGGACGAGCAGCATGGAGGAATATTGACACGTTTTTTGTGGACTTTTATGGACCTTTCTGCCTCGGGCACCATAGACCTCCATTATTTGAATGTCAGCAGACAGCAAGAAGCCTCCCAGATCTCCAGATGCATTTGAGATATCAAAAAAGTACTCCAGAGTGTTGTTCAGCATGGGGGTGAGTAGAAAATGAAGGCTAATCATGTTTTGGGTGTACTATTCCTTTAAGGCTGAGGGCTACTTCATGGCTACCGAGTCATAGAATGGCTACCAATACTGACCTATGAACTGGAGGGATCAGTGTTCACCTACAGTAAATCTCATCAATAAAAACTCATTTTTATTCTTATTTTATTCTTTTATTTATTTCTAATTTTCTTTTTAATGTCATTTTGAAACCCCTGAAATATGATGAAATAGTTAACAACAATGAAATAATACATAAATGATTAAGAAGAAGAGCAACAGAATAAAAAAATAAATAAAAATCTTCTGTTTTCAGAAGACGAAGAGGGGACCCAATGTGGTCCTTGAGGGCCCCTTGGTGCCCGCGGGCACCGCGTTGGTGACCCCTGCACTAAACCAAAGCATTATCGCTCTGTTTGCGTGTTCCTCTTGACGGTCTGCCACAATAAGGACCCTACCAAAAACCTGCAGTGGGTAGGCAGAGTGGACCGCTCAGCCCTTAACAGAGGTGTCAGAAAGTATTCATCTTTATTACTCAAGTAAAAGTAAAAATCCTACTGTTAAAAACACTTTTGTAGAAGTTAGAGAATCAACTGAAACTTTTTACTCCAGCAAAAGTGTAAAGGTACTAATTTTAAAACTACTTAAGGTATAAAAGTAAAAGTATTGCAGGAAAAAATGTAAAGTATAGAAGCTTTGCTGCACTACCCTATTAAAGGTCAATGTTTCTACAATTCTGGCTAATAACTGCCTTAGACTTAATTTTCTTAGTTTTATAACTAATGGTAAGAGTGTCAAATTTAACTTTACATCATCTTGAAAAACTATTTATTTTGGTCTGTGGCGAAGAAGTTGGTGCAGCACAGAGTCCAACCACAAAGAAATTGTCTGGATAAAACTAATTCTTTTGATGGTTTTTATTTTTGTTTTGATACTAGCAGACCATAATGAAAAGTCTGTTTTTTTTTTTTTTATGTAAGGAGTAGAAAGTAGAGATAATTGCAAAACATGTAAGGAGTAGAAGTAAAAAGTTGTCTAAAAAAATAATTACTCCAGTAAAGTATAGGTAGCCAGAATTTCTACTTAAGGTAGTGAACTATTTGTACTTTGTTAGTTGACACCTCTGGGCCTTAAATAGCGAGTCTGCATCGGCGCTAGGGCTGAAAGATTTTGCCAAAATCTAAACTGCGATTATTTTTCACCAAAATTGCGATTTTATTTCCATTTTCCTTTGCTCTAACCCCAAGCTGGTAGATATTTCAACCGAGGCTTTCGGTTTTTAAGAGCTTGCTCACCCAGAATCCTTTGTTACTTGACCTTACTGTAACCATTGTGTAAAAAAGTTCTTAATTTTACTTCCTTTCGTAGATCTGTGAGCTAACTGCAAATCTCTTCCTTTCTGTGTGGCAACAAATGTTTTTTTTTTTTTTGTACTTTATTTTTGATAAGATTTCGCAGAATACAACACCAACACATTTGATTTGACAATTGCATTTTGTGAAATTGCACTTATATTGCAAATACAGTTGACTGCCCAGCCCTAATCAATGCGCGCTTGACTGAAATTTGGCAGAGGGTTTGACAGCGACCTAATGACCTTTGGAATCAAACGAACCCCATTCGAAAAGGTTGGACCCGCTCGTTAGGTTTAATTTGCATTTCTTCTAAGCCAGAACAAGACTTTTTTTTTTTTTTGGTCCACTCTATAAAGCCTGGAACTCAACGCCATTTCTGACATTTTGAATTGAAAAAGCTTCCTGGATGGGAAGCGAAATGTCTTCAAACTTAGAAACAAAGTCCAGTGGATTGTTTTTTAACTTCTTTGGAAAGCCTTACTGTGTTTGGGACAGTCAGGCTACGTTCACACAGCAGCCTGAAGTCATCCAAATCTGATTATTATTATTTTTTTGCCTTAATGCGACCTGGATCTGATCATTTCATGACAGTCTGAACAACACCCATCCAATCTTTTCACATGTCACCCGTGTCTGAACGACTAGGTTGCATTCACCTGACCTGCATGCCATTAAAACTGAACAAAAGTCACTGTTCTGCTATGCAAAATTGGAAGGAAAACAACAACCATGGTGGACGATAATCCAGAGAGTCTTTATTTTCAACCATCTTGAATAGATTGTGTTGTTAATGCACTGGCTGAGGTTGGGAAAGAAATGTAAGATTTCTAGATGCGCTCTAGCACTATTATCCATGTTGTGCATGGATGGTAGTAGCATGCTCGCTTGTTAAGTCATTGCGTCCTCCACTGTGGAAATGTAGGCCAGCCAAGGACCCATCAGGTCGAGGGACACTTAAGCTGTCACATACAGTAGTAGCCAAGCAAAATTTCCCCACTTTCCTTGATGGGTCCTTGGCTTGTCACCTACATTTCCTTTTTAAACGTCCATCTTTGTACTAAAATATTCTTTCTGTCATGATTTGTGGACTTAAGATCTAAAGAGAAGCGCCATCTCCTGGTCTGACCCTGTAATTCAGTGAAAGGGGGGAGTCAGAGTAAAAAAATATGCAAGAGGAGGGGTCACTGCACTGGCTGGAAGTTGGACACTAATGGTCCAGGAGAATGTTGTATAGATGTTCTTTTATTCTACATTTTTAATCAGATTCAGAGCATTTCTCAGGTTTTTACGGCTATAGTGGCTCGTTTTTTTGTATACATTGGGCTGACAAGAAAGGGAGGATGAGAGACATGCAGCAGAGGATCACAGGTCAGATTCGAAACCAGGTTGGCCAAGTCAAGGATCCAGCCCGCGAACTGTTTATCCATACTTACCTGACTGTGCCATCTGTTCACCTCCTGGCATTCTGTGCCTGGCATGCGGATCCCACCTGCCCCTCGCTCGGCAGCGTGTCGCTCTCTATTTTCTGCAGTCCGTCTCTATCACCTGCAGTGCGTCTCTATCACCTGCAGTCCGTCTCTATCACCTGCAGTCCGTCTCTATCACCTGCAGTGCGTCTCTATCACCTGCAGTCCGTCTCTATCACCTGCAGTGCGTCTCTATCACCTGCAGTCCGTCTCTATCACCTGCAGTGCGTCTCTATCACCTGCAGTCCGTCTCTATCACCTGCAGTCCGTCTCTATCACCTGCAGTCCGTCTCTATCACCTGCAGTGCGTCTCTATCACCTGCAGTCCGTCTCTATCACCTGCAGTCCGTCTCTATCACCTGCAGTGCGTCTCTATCACCTGCAGTGCGTCTCTATCACCTGCAGTGCGTCTCTATCACCTGCAGTCCGTCTCTATCCCCTGCAGTCCGTCTCTATCACCTGCAGTCCGTCTCTATCACCTGCAGTGCGTCTCTATCACCTGCAGTCCGTCTCTATCACCTGCAGTGCGTCTCTATCACCTGCAGTCCGTCTCTATCACCTGCAGTGCGTCTCTATCACCTGCAGTGCGTCTCTATCACCTGCAGTCCGTCTCTATCACCTGCAGTGCGTCTCTATCACCTGCAGTGCGTCTCTATCACCTGCAGTGCGTCTCTATCACCTGCAGTGCGTCTCTATCACCTGCAGTGCGTCTCTATCCCCTGCAGTCCGTCTCTATCACCTGCAGTCCGTCTCTATCACCTGCAGTGCGTCTCTATCACCTGCAGTCCGTCTCTATCCCCTGCAGTCCGTCTCTATCACCTGCAGTGCGTCTCTATTACCTGCAGTGCGTCTCTATCACCTGCAGTGCGTCTCTATCACCTGCAGTGCGTCTCTATCACCTGCAGTGCGTCTCTATCACCTGCAGTGCGTCTCTATCCCCTGCAGTCCGTCTCTATCACCTGCAGTGCGTCTCTATCCCCTGCAGTCCGTCTCTATC